ATTGTCTTCCTCCTACCCCAAATTTGGGTAGGGTCCTTGTCTATTCTGTTCACCACTGTATCTCCAGCAGCCAGCACAGGACCTAGCACAAAGTAGGCATTCGGTGAATAATTGCTGATGAATGAACTAATACCATGCTTTTTGGGGACAGTTTCCTGTACTATGAAATTTTCTAAACTTCAAGGCTTTAGGTGATAACTAAATATGTTCATGGAATAATCCTGTTAATTTTACGTATATAATTTACCTGAACTTTCTCCCAGAAAAACGTCTTTTTTCAAGCATTGGAACCTAGCAAGTTACCTGCAACTGGGAAATTGAACAGGAATCTCAATCTGAAAATGCAGGGGGTCTCTAAAGAGATCTTTTGGAATAATTTAAATATTTACTAATCACTTATATCTTCAAAGCTATTCTAGGCCTCTGCCCTTTTCAATGGCAAAGAGCTGTCCGTGAATCGTCTTGGATACTTGTTTAAAATGTGAATCAAGGGAATCCAGAGCCTGGAAATCTGCATTTTTGCAGGAATCTCAGGTGCTTAGAATACATACAAAACTTCGAGAACTACTGTGAGGAGGTTAGGGATATTCTTATCCCCACACCATTGGGAAAAAATCCTAATAAACTATCAAAATGTGTTTTAAATCCATTGATCCTCCAATTTATCTAAAGATTCTTTAATCACTACCATGTCTTGGGATCATGAGCCGTATCAATTTCTTCCACCCTGTGTAACACAGAAACATTGTGCTTATCTAAAATGTGTTCTTTCCCCAGTTTCAAGACAGTGGCAACCTAACCTTACTCCAACATACCAGACTCTAGTGCATTGAGTCACTCTCACACGGGATCAAGCTAGAAGTGAGAAGATCTGGTCCATTTCTGCCACAAGATGCTATGTGTCCTTTGGAAGGTAGCTCAGCTTCTCTGGCCCATTGTTTCCTTATCTATAAGTTGAGAGTGTGGGTGTGCACAGCTTTTTGATTCTACACAAATCCTCTAACTAGAGTCATTCTATAGACAGGGATAATATGTCCTCTCTGGCTTGTTTTTCAACACACAAACGTCATGCACCTGTGATCGTGAATTAGGTTCAGGAGGTGACAGGGTAAGTAGGCACAGGAATGTCAAGAGCCCCACCTCACTGAATCAACTGTGACCAAAAAATTCAGAATATAAATTTCTATAATACACACCTGTAAGAACTAATTACCCCACAAAACAAAAACAAACACAACTTCTGAGGAAGAGTTAGTTGACCCTACAAAAATTGGGGTGGACCTGTTAGGGTGAGCCATGGGCCACATACCTGCTGTTTGTCTCAGACAGGGAAGAGTTTCAGGGTGGGGGTGTCTAGATATTCTACTCTTAGATCTGTGTAATATTAGACGCAAAAAAGACCTGGGTCATTCTGTCAACAAATCTTTGCTTGTTTATTTATTTGCTTGTTTATTTATTTGCTTATTTAGGCTGCTGGCACCAACAGGGATCCGAACCCTTGATCTTGGCGTTATCAGCACTGTGCTCTAACCGACTGAGTTAACCGGCCAGCCCCGACTATTTATTGATACCTAGTGTGCGCCAGGCACTGTTCTAGGTATTGGGAGCCCAGAAGTGTATCCTACTGACAAGACTCATTTTTTCATGGAAATAATATTGTAGTGAGGAAGACAGGTGATAAACAATTGTAACAGATGACAAGGGGCATAAACAGCGTAAGTAGGGGAAATGCAGACATTAGTTAGGAGGCTCCCTGGAGGAACCCGTAGTGTCTCATCCACTTGTCCAGCCGCCACAGTTGCGGAACACGAGGCAGAGACAGCAGTGACCCGCTCAGGGCTAGACTGCACGGAGCTTGCCAGC